CCACATCTCCAAGAAGTGGGGCTTTACTAAGTTTAATGCGGATGAGTTTGAAGACATGGTGGCCGAGAAGCGCCTCATCCCAGATGGCTGTGGGGTCAAATACATCCCTAATCGTGGTCCCCTGGACAAATGGCGAGCCCTGCACTCGTGAGAGTCTCGGTGCTGCCCCCACCTTACACCCACCAATAAATCAATTTTTCATCCAAAAAAAAAAATCTTCTAGAATGAAACCAATTTTAAAAAGCCACACAATCTTTTGGTTTTATTTCCAAAATTTGAATAAAAAATTATGTATTATCTCAATTTCCACAACAGTCTAATGTAATTGTGGTAGTACAGTTATTCGCTGTGATAGTACAATTATTCCTGATGAGAAAACCAACACAGGTTGAGGAGTGACCAGTACTAAGTAATTAGACGACAGTTACAGAGTAGTTGAGCACTGGCTATGCTGCAGCTTTGGGTTATACGTGAGGAGAGGACAGCCACAGAACTCGTACACACTCCAATACATTGCAGGCTGTGGCCAAGGCCAATCTTTCTCGTCGCTTTATTTCTACCCCTTTATGTTACCTCTGAATTCGAAATCCTTTTCTGAGAGAGTTCACAGGTGTGGTGGTTGGGAATTCAGAAAGGGCTTCACTCCAGGATTTGCTACAGAGCCTTAGCTATGAACTAAGGCTCCGTAGCAAACTTTCTGGTTGGGCTGTCTTGAGCAAGCCATTTAGCTTCCCTAGTCTTCTTGTTTCCTCACTTGCAACAGGAAGAGCTGGAGCCATGTTCTTTGAAGTTTAGATGCTGGTAACAGGCATTTGCTGTAAAGTCACAAAAACCTGGCAGACAATAACCTGGAAAGTCACGTTACCACTTGCGTTACACATATTCCAAAGCAGATCTGGTAGCTTTACATTCCTGCAAAGGAAAGCTTTCCATCTTGGCGGGGGCTACTTGCCTCGCACCTGAGCCTGTTCTCCTCCCCACGCCAGCCATCCTCCCATTGCCATGGAGACCCAGAACGCTCCAGCTGGCTGATTATCTTCCCGCGGGACCCCTAGCGGAGCACGTGAGGACGCACGCGCGTTGGAGGCGGCCGGAGGCGCCGCGGTGACTGCCGGGATTGAGGTTTGAGCAACCTGATCCGGAAGTGGTGGGCGGGGCTCCGGGCCGAGTCCCACCTCCTTCGCCGCCAGTGCACGGACCC